GTCCGTTTCTCACCGCAATGTTCTTTGTAAAAAGTGCGACATTTCTATCAAAATTACTGGCATGCCATTGCGGATGAAAATATAGCTTGATTTTATAGGTAGCATAGCGTTTGAATTTTACCCAGCCAAAAAGTGCCAAAAAAAAAAAAAAAAAGAAAATAATTCAGGAAAAAGGAATAAACTTTGCCACGTATACTATATGATAAAGATCTGATACTATTATATTAACAAAATTATTATTTTGTTAAGTAGTTATATATATATGTATATATATATTTTAAATATATTTTATTTCTAAGAAAATATCTATTTTTATTTTGTAATTTCAAGAATACGATTCACATAAATATTATAAATAGGAAAATTATTTTTAGATATATTTTTTAAAAAATTATTATATTTAAATATTTTTAAATTCAAAATAATTTAAATAAAATAAATAAAAATAAAAGGCCTAAAAGAATATGTAATAGATATTGTTCATCGTCATATTTCTAAGAAATAAAAAATAATTTTCCTATTTATAATAATTTTTTTCCTAGCATTCTTTTTTTATATTGATATTCTAATAACTTACACACTGATTATAAGATCTAATATTGTACAGGTTAGTGAGACTAAAACTAACAAGTTTTTAATTTATTGATCACACCAATGGGTCCTCTACCAAACACAAAACTTCACCAAGACTACAAACACACAAGGATGCATCAGTGAATGCATTAGATTCTGAATTTCAACTATATGTGATTGTTGAAGACTAAATTACATTTTGACTTTTGATATGTAAAGATTGCAAATTACTCAATTGTAAACGTCAAATATGAGCTAGTAAAATTGTATTGATGTATTATAAATTCATTAATAATAAAAAATATCAGAGGTTATTTTATTGCTATAATTTTTATTTTGTATTAACAATAACATCAAATGAGTTTCTTGTTTGATCATAATAAGATTATCTAATAAAGTGAGAGCGGTACGGACAGTACACTAGCCCCCCGAGCTCCGAGTCCACAGGTTGAGGAGTTAAGACCGAGCTCGCTGGGGGGAAGTGACCTTTCGCGTACTTCTGCCTGTTGAGATGTCATGTATCGTAACTGTTCATTTTTCGAAAACGTGCAAGTGGCGCGTTAAGGGAAATGACGGTTGTGCAATGATGGTCTTGCAATTAATGTGTTGTCAGCGTGCCCTTAGGTTGACACGTGTTGCGGCCGTTTGGATTTTGGAAAAAAATATTTTCTCTCCTTTGCGCCTCTTCCCCTTTCCACTTTATTCTTTTTCTGCTTCTTGGCTTCTCGAGTACGATAACTTTTCTTGCCTTCTTGCTTCCGTTCATTTTTCGTCTCCGTTTTCACAGTTCCTCTTTGAGTTCTATTACTCCTCTTGATGGCTGGTGGTCATGGTGCCAGTTCTTCTGCACCTGTCAGGGGCAAGGCGCGCGGCAAGGCGGTGGCTACCGGGAGGGGCGCCGGCGAGAGAAAAGACCCGCTTCCGCCCAAGGACCTGGAGTCGGGTGTTCATGGTTACGACTGGGTTATGGGGGGGTCCAAAGTGTGTTCAGATCGCCTCTGGAGGTCAATGCGGTTTGGAAGACGCACCGGATTTGCGACCCTTCCATTTCCCGGATGATTCGACTCGAGCCCTATCCGGCCGGTGAGGGTGTGTACTCCAAGTTGATATGTGTGACGACGCATTGTGTGCTTATTGCTGATTATGCTATAAAATCGATGAGTTGTATGCTAATGATGTGAGATGTGTGCTGTTATTGCTGAATGTTGTGGTATTTTAAGCTGATTTTGTTAAGCTGATTTATGTACTGATAGGGGTAGCTGTTCACTATTCATATATTTATATATGTATGTTGTTCTTACCGGAAATTTGCTGTAGAGCTGATCCGCCAGGTAAGATCGGTGAGCCTCCTGCACTAGTACGCTTGATGCTCCAATATGGGGGTGGTACCTGCAAAAGAGACTCCGATGCTAAAGTTAGTGTGTGTGGGAGTATGAATCTCGTATAAGTAATGCACGTACCTTAGTGTGAATTAGGGTTGCTTTGGGCCTTGGGCCTGAGATAAGATATGATAAGATTAGATAGTGAATCTCGTCTGAAGCGAGATCCCTCGAGATCAGTTATGATCTGCTTAAATGCCAAGCTGACGTCGCGTAATGCGTGCCCGACCTCATCTTGCGCTGTGATGCCGAGCTCGGAGCTCGGCTTCGCGGTACGGACAGTACACTAGCCCCCCGAGCTCCGAGTCCACAGGTTGAGGAGTTAAGACCGAGCTCGCTGGGGGGAAGTGACCTTTCGCGTACTTCTGCCTGTTGAGATGTCATGTATCGTAACTGTTCATTTTTCGAAAACGTGCAAGTGGCGCGTTAAGGGAAATGACGGTTGTGCAATGATGGTCTTGCAATTAATGTGTTGTCAGCGTGCCCTTAGGTTGACACGTGTTGCGGCCGTTTGGATTTTGGAAAAAAATATTTTCTCTCCTTTGCGCCTCTTCCCCTTTCCACTTTATTCTTTTTCTGCTTCTTGGCTTCTCGAGTACGATAACTTTTCTTGCCTTCTTGCTTCCGTTCATTTTTCGTCTCCGTTTTCACAGTTCCTCTTTGAGTTCTATTACTCCTCTTGATGGCTGGTGGTCATGGTGCCAGTTCTTCTGCACCTGTCAGGGGCAAGGCGCGCGGCAAGGCGGTGGCTACCGGGTGCCTAGCCAATAACTCACAACTTGCTTTTGGAGTGATTCCAGAATCATCAGCTAAATGAACCTCGGCTACTTGAGGAATAGTCATTTTCCTTTGAGATCTAAGCAAATGACTCTTACTAGGAGTTGTAGTCTCATGTGCATGCTCAGCAATAAATTCAGTTACACGATACTTTCCTGTTAAACGACTATTAACTTTCATCTTTTCCAAACAACCAAATCTTGATTGTGGTCGAGGATTTTTGACATTATCTTCTCGCTTATCTTTCCCACGATATCCTTCGCATGAACAACAAAATACTCTATTGACTATCTTCCCATATTTATCTTTATGCCCTTTGCTAATCCTCACACTGAAACCTACTCTATAAGCATAATCATTGTAAAAATTATATGCTGCATCTTCAGTCTCAAACTCCATCCCAACTTTTGGAATAAATTGACTAGGAATTGTATCATGTATTATATCAAAAAAAATTTCCTTCAATTTCATCCACATTATCAATGCCCATATCTTGATGTTCTTCTTCAGCCATAACACAATGCTCTAAACAAGTGACCAAGAATTAGATACGTATCAAATAAAGAATGAACTTGTGTAACAATCCAACAAAATTAGAGTCAAACAAAAAGAAAAAAAAACACGATGTTTAAAGAGATCAAATAAATCTTAAATCAAGAAGAAAACCACAAATTATGTAATGTGAAGTGGAGAAAAAGAATAGTAGTAGGAGAAACCAAAAGGTAATGAGAAACATGAAAATGACTTACGTAAGACCTTGTCAATAAAGTCTTTAACGCATTTTTAGATCTGTTTGTCAAAAGAGAGACAAAGCAACAAGAGTGATGAGTGGAGGCACAAGGGCTGTCGAAGAACTCGAAAATAGGGGGCTGGATGTTAGCACCAGGCTAATGATAATGGAGGGCACACACAACAAGTAAAATAATCAATAATAGAAAGGAACGTTAAGTGAAAAAGGAATAATCAAAAAGATGTTATATTTGAAAAAAAATTACATAACTATTTAACAAAATATTTAAATATAATAATGTTTTAAAAAAATATATCTAAAAATAATTTTCCTATTTATAATATTTATGTGAATCGTATTCCTGAAATTATAAAATAGAAATAAATATTTTCTTAGAAATAAATATATTTGAAAAAAAATTATATAACTATTTAACAAAATAATAATTTTGTTAATATAACAATATCAGATCTTCATCATGTAGTGTACGTGACAAAGTTTATTCCTTTTCCCTAAATTATTTTTTTTTCTTTTTTCTTTTTTTTTGGGCACTTTTTGGCTGGGTAGAATTCAAACGCTATGCTACCCATAAAATCAAGATATATTTTCATCCGCAATGGCATGCCGGTAATTTTGATAGAAATGTCGCACTTTTTACGAAGAATATTGCGGTGAGAAACGGACATGAAAGAAAGCCGTAACAGAATCGGTTATATATTTTAAAAATCAGAATTAAAATTAAAAATAATAATATGATAATCTAGATGACATTTTGTGATTGGAGGAACGAGATTTGGGGACACGGATTGGAGACAGAAGATTTTAATGTATAGAAATGAAAAACTGGCTGCAATTACAATTTAGGTGTTAAAATTTTTGCACATTCTAAATTTTAATTCCAGAAGATGACGTGAACGATTTGCCACGTTCTAGGAATCTATCCTTGCATGATCAGATTGCTATACAGATGGATGGCAAAGGGAAATTATCTCAAGACATAAGTTTTCCGTAAATTTTAAACGAGACTGAAGCTAGTCCAACAATGAAATCTTAGAAGATAAATGGTAATGCTCTCAGCACGTTCTTTCAGGCCAACCTTTTATTAAAGGTTTAAATTTTATCATAAACCACAAAAGTGTGTATCTTAATCGTTATTTAATGAATTCTAACAGGGCTCGAATCAACCGAGGCGAAATTATTCCAACTTAATGAATTATTTCAAGCTCGAGTAGTGAGTATAAATACTAAGAGCATCGGTAATAAGAGTTACTTATAACCAACCTCCATCAGAGATGCTCTAATGAATCTTACACATAATTTTGTAATTTTTAATAAATTTTAACTAATAAAAGATAGTGAATAATACATTTTTATCTGGATATGTTGAGCATTCATTCACTGTCGGAGCATAGCCTTGATAAGCACCCTGTGCTTAAGCACACATGCTAACCTTTTTTTTATTAATTTTTTTGTTAAAACTAACAATAATAATAATAATATTATAAAAAAAAAGGCTGGTAGCAATTAATTTTAATAAAATATAAGATGTAAAGTTATTTGTGGACCTAGTTTAGTAATTTTCTTCTTGGTAGTGTTGAGTTGGAGGAATCGGATACTTCAAGTATTAAAAAAAGTATAAATGAGTGATGTGTACAAGTAATCCACTAAGTCCAATGAGAGAGGATCTTAGATACTGTAATCTCATCCTAGAATGATCAGTAAACCGGGCAACCATCAATTACAACCCCTTTAGCAATAGGACAAGAAGCCAAGGGGCAGCCTTCAGGATTATTTCCCCACCAGTTAAGCATAACGTTGTTATTGTTCAAAGCAAGAAACAGCAAGATTGTCATAAAGGCAGTTCCAGCATCAAGACCACCAGACATTACATAATTGTAACGCTTCCACCACTCTTGCCTATATCTATATACAACAAACCCTGAGAGAAAGGCCACTAGTATCCAACTAGTGAAGTTCACCGCGGTTGCTGGTGGCATCATTGATGTAGCACCCAACAAAACAGGCATGTGAATCAGAGTTATCCACTTTTGTCCCGGAAATGCCTTGTGAGCAAGCCAAACTAGTAAGGGAGCAATAACTCCACCAAGGAAGAACCAATTCATTTTGGAATATTCACCTAGGTCTCCAAAGATCCTGCGTGGTCCAAGAAGACCCCATATAACTGATGCATCAAAGAACACATTGTCCATTGGGCAAGTCCAAGGGCTATCAGGAGGCAGAATCGAGGTATCACAAAGGTTAGGGATCGTTCTCATCAACCACCATGCTGTTATTGTGTACACAAATACTGATAACACTGTTCCTACCACCTACATACAATGCAACATGCAACCACATTTAGTTTCTTAATATGTGCTCTACTTACTCTTGTAGTCTACATTTAAAATAACAGAAACCACTCCGGGGAAGCATAGTTTTAAAAACCGGACCGGTTATCAAACCGGTTAAGGTACTGGGTCAGTGGGTTAAAGGTTGAACCAGTGGATCATAAGTTGAACCGCATGACTCGATTTTTATTATTTTTTTTTAAAAAAATATTTATATTAAATATATTTTATACTTATAAATTTTAATAAATTCATCTTATTTTAAATTTCAATTTTCCTAACTTATTTAAAATTATTTTTATTTTT